GTATTATGTTAACTACTAGCTACTGCTGCTGCTGCTGCTGCTGCTGCTGCTACTGCTGCTGCTGCTGCTGCTGCTGCTGCTGCTGCTGCTGCTACTGCTACTACTGCTGCTGCTGCTACTGCTGCTGCTGCTGCTACTGCTGCTGCTGCTGCTGCTGCTACTGCTACTGCTACTGCTACTACTACTGCTACTACTACTGCTACTGCTACTACTACGTCGACCAAGGTGGGCATGATGTTAAACTAGCTAGATACTCTTTTCCATTAGATAATGGGAAACTACTATACAGCCATCCAAAAAAGGTTTATGTGAAACTAGCTATACTCCCATCCGTTAGATAAAAGCATTCTACTATACAGCCATCCCGACTAATATTATGTGAAACTGGCCACATACCTAAATGTACACAACGACCACCCTTTCCATATGTACAAAATCGTTCTAGTTCATACATCCTGCGAGTATATTTATGTTATATTTATGTTATATTTATTCTGCGAGTAAATTTATGTTATATTTACGTTATATTTATCCTGCGAGTAAATTATGCGAATAATGTTCATGTGGTTACACGGATGTCAGCGCGGCGTTGAAGAAGGGCTTTCGCCCGCTCACCTGGCACAAGCACTTTGTTGAACTTGATGTCGATGTGGTGCGTGCTGAGTTCACGCGGAACGAACGTCACCTGGCAGATCCCACCCGGCATAACCTTCACGGTGTTCGGAACCTGCCCGCTGTTAATCGCGATCTCCAGCTGACCTTGACCCGCCTTGCCAACGTCAACTGCATCGAGGAAAAATGGCTGTGAGTTCATCTAGGAACAATGGCTGTGAGTTCATCGAGGAACAATGTCTGTGGCTGTGAGTTCATAGAGGGACAATGGTCGTGAGTTCATCTAGGAACAACAGATGTGAGTTCATCGAGGAACAATGGCTGCGAGTTCATCGAGGAACAATGGCTGTGAGTTCATCGAGGAACAATGGCTGTGAGTTCATTGAAGAACAATGGCTATGAGTGCATAGAGGGACAATGGTCGTGAGTTCATCGAGGAACAATGGATGTGAGTTCATCGAGGAACAATGGCTGTGAGTTCATCGTGGAACAATGGCTGCGAGTTCATCGAGGAACAATGGCTGTGAGTTCATCGAGGAACAATGGCTGTGAGTTCCGTAGAATTATCGAGTCATATACACCCGTAGAGAAATACAGCCACGTGAATTCAAAATTATTGAATCCATTACGCAATAAAATCGGCGATGATATTCAAAAGATTTAAAAGAATAATAGGTCCATTGATTATGCAATGTTGACGAATGCTAGAGTAACTGACACCTTGTGTAGTTAATAAGTACGTAACCTTATAGCCTAACGCGTATTAGTTTGTCCAATATCACTGCTGGTTACATTACAAGCAAGACTTGAAATGGGTTGTTGATATTCATTTACGTGCTGTAAATGTCATCCAGGAGTCAAGCGATGACGTAAACATTTGTGCGGCCCGTATGTTTTGGACGCCAGATAACCACGGCCACGGACTAAACATGGAAATGGAGTAAAACACACGTACTAATCACGGACGCACATGGACAACCCTGACAAAAAGTTTCTTATCACGAGCGTCCGTGTTTACGAAATCACTGATGATAGCATTGCGTACGGCCGAGCATGCGTGCGAAAATGTCCGGTGCACTATAAATCTGTATCACACCCGCTTCGCCGGCAGCGGTTTGAAACTGTAAACAACTCAGTCAACTGATTTCTTTGACTGCAGATTTCAATTAGACATTTCTTAGTAACCAGCAGTGATATTGGACAAACTAATACGCGTTTGGCTATAAGATAATGTACTTATTAACTACACAAGGTGCCTGATACTCTAGCATTCGTCAACATTGCATAATCAATGGACATATTATTCCTTTAACGCACCCATGAAGAAATACGGACATGAATTGAAAATCTGTACCGATAGCATCCACTAAGATATACGGCCGTTAACTCAAAAGAGGTTTTGGTAACATCTAGTAAGGATTACAGCATGTATCTTTGCGTTGTTGAGAATAGATCAGTATAGAGTTACTAAAACCTTTAGCGTTTACATTAGCTGACGGCAAGGCTTCATGGGACCATTGTACATACGATGCACCAACCTACCATTGAAAGTGATGGGCTGTCCCAAGACTGCATTAGGTACAGGCCCAACGAGAATCTTAGTTGGATCGTATGCCTTAACGACGAATGGACTTCCACTGACGTCCTTTCCTCCATAACTTACAGTTAGATGATGTGGTCCTGCATATGGCAACATGCTCAGCATCAAAACGCAATTACTGCTTTAATGCATTTAGAAGTATTGTAGCATAATGTATATTATATTGCCTCTGCTTAAGGTGTCACACAATCGATTACACTTTCATTGCGACACTTGCAACTTTCTGTATGTAGGGAATTTCAATCTGTAACGCATAAGCTATGAAATATTGATTCGATAAATGTTTTAGCGTACACTTCCAAAAAATATCGATCAATTTAGTTAGCCAGTAACTCACAATAAATAACGTGACGGAACCAAAATTTGTGATCTTACCAACTTCTGTTGCCATGTATTCTACTGTATACGTATCTCTGGTTGTTGGTACAATGCGGCATGGTACCATCCGTCCACTAGGGGCTGTAAAGAAAGACACCAATTTGCCTTCAGTAATATTTACCAGTCACTTTACCCAGGAGGTTAAACGGCTTCCAACTTCATCCTTTCATAAATTCAATAAACTGAATATAGGCTTATGATGAGTGTATAATATTATGCAGCAGTTTAATAACAAGTTGATGTTGTAATTATTGTAAGTTTGTTTAACATTCATTATGCAAATTTAAAACCATATGAAAATCTACAATAATAAAGCCCCGAATGAACATAAACTGATAATACATCCACGACAAATTCTCATATGCCACGCGTAACACGATCTACTCAATGCAGAACAGTTTTTCACCTTTCACTTTCACTATGACCTCCCCAGGTCCGGCACCCTCAGTGTGCACATCAAACGTAGCCATCTTGCTGACGCGTATCGCTTGCAGACCCTCCCCGTGTAGAGTGACCCGACCAGCATCCACGACCTCGTGAGTCCAAGGTGACCCTGCCACCAACAAGTGAACACTAATGAGAAATTCAGGTTCAATCAAAACTAATGATATCACAAACTAATAATAATACATCAGAGAAAAAAGCAATTCGTAATATAAAAAAAAGTATTAAAAGAATTTCGCCATACCTCACCTGCAAGAACTACCCCTTACTTTTGCAATCAGCTATCGTTACTTAGAAACTACAGCTATGCATTTGGGAGGTTCGACCGTACGCAAGTCACTTGGCATACGTACCCTGTACTCCCATCTTGTTGAAGGTTAACTCTACGACGTGTGCTTTGGCCTCGCTCGGCACGAACGACACCTGGTACTTCTGGTTACCCAGTTTCGACACGTCACAGTGCACCATGCCGTTGTTCACCATGATCTCCAGGTTGCCCGAGCCAGCATCCGACGCGTCAACTGTGCAAAGAAGTCATATAATAATCAGCGATGACGATCGGTGACGATCGGATATTTGAGCAATTCGATTGGCTTGAGGATCTAAAATCTGTTCAAGCCAAGATTTTGTAATTGGAATAGTCTCGCACAATTTCTCGTTTACTGCACGATATCTAATTCTAAACGTGACAGTACTCAAACAACCAAGAACTCATACCAGAACAGCACAAATGTTGAAGATTAAATTATAATTAATAGTAATTATAATAAGTGCGACACCCCCTCTAAATCTTCCAAACTATGTGCCGACAATAACAATAACCTGTCATCGGTTGAGACTCAATAACGAACTACTGATTACATTGTATATCAATTACATTGTGCTGGGAGACGGGACACGTACCTAGAAACCAATTTCGAAATCTTCCAAACTACGCGCTAACAATAACAAATGACTGCCATCGGCGGAGACTCAAGACCTAACTACTGATTACATTGAATGCTGATGAAATTGTGCAACAACGGAGATGTAGGAGATGGGAAACGTACCTATGATTAACCAATTTCGAAATCTTCCAAACTATGCGCTTACCATAACAAAAGACTGCCATCGGCGAAGACTCAACACCGAACTACTGATCGCATTCAATATTGATGAGGTTGTGGCGGGGAGACGGGGGAGACGTACCTATGAACTGTACGGGCTTGCCGACGAGCGTGGCCTGTGTAGGCAGGTTGAGCAGACGCACCGAGGCAGGGTCGTAGGCGCGCATCACGTACGGACTGCCGCCGACGTGCTGCCCCGCGACCTTCACCTCCAGTGTGTTCGTGCCTGCAAGGTCAAACATCGCCAAGGTCACGATCAACTGCTACCGCGGCGCGGGGTTCGAACGAGAGCTGGCAGCGACGCCATCCATGTGCGATTACACCTCGAACCGCACTGTACAGTTAGACCTTGATTATCTAAACGAGACAGGCAGGGAGTATTTTGTTCGGATACCTGATTGTTCGAATAACCGATCTGATCGGTCACATGTCACAGGTGGTCTAGTGGCTTATTCAATATTTACGGGACCTTGAGATCGTGTTCGGATAATCCGAAATTCGGATAATTGATGTTCGGATAACCGAGGTTTGACTGTATTTAGAGTGTTTTATAACTGGGCTTAGTATTAGAGTGTCACTGTATGACGCAGAATAATTTATCGACGAGATTCATAAAAATTATGAATATTGATGTGGCATTTTCGACAACCAGTCTTTTTACAATGGCAATAGGTCAGTTTTCGAAACTATTGTAAAAATTGGTAATAGTTTTGGATTAGTGTCGTAATTAAATATCATATGATATGCATGCATTTTTATTGGTTGCACACCTTGATACCATACGTGTATAATTAAGTATGCCGTACCTTTCTCTGCGAGGATGTACTCGACCTTGTGGGTTCCTGGAGTAGCACCCGGAACAACTCTGCATGGTGTTATTTTACCACTCGATGCTGAAACAATTATTCATCCGATATAATGATATACTGATTATCGTATAAGTAATTAGATTTTATAGGCATATGGGTTTGCTATAAATGCTTTGGTGATGTAACCTATGGATGTGATATAAATATATTCTACTTATCACTGCCACTCGTCATGAGCAGTAGATATGGGACACATAACAGGCAACTTTACCAGTGAGGTTTGCGACAGGGATGACATCCACGCTTCCGGTGCTCAGCTCTGCATGGTAGTTCCTGTGTATGTGTCCACCCTGGAGGGCTTCCCCATATAGCATCATGCTTGCCGGATCGAGGATCTCAAACGTGCGCGGGAAACCTGCCAAACGACGTCCATCGTTACCGTTAGCGATTACTTAATTAATTCGTTTTTTTAGTCGTTGATTTTTGACTGGGGACATCCTATAGGCTCTCTTTAATTTATTTCGTCGGTGATTCTTGACTGGGGATATTGTGCGTGCATGTGTGTGTGTGTGTATGGGCATGTGTACAAGTGTGTGTGTGCTTGTGTAGTCCTATGTAACTATTTATGTGCGTGCGTGGGTGCGTGCATGTAGCCATGTATGTGTGTTCATGTGTATGTGCGTGCGTGCGTGTGTGCATGTAGCCACGTATGTGCGTGCGTGCGTGCATGCAGCCCTGTTTGTGCATGCGTGTGTGCATGCATGCAGCCGTGTATGTGCGTACATGCATGCTGTTCTTATGCAGTAGCACTTGACGTACCAGGTACGGGCTCGTTGTTGAAGTTCAGCTCGAGTGTGTGTGTGCGTGCGCGTGCATGTGTGTGTGTATGGGCATGTGTACAAGTGCTTGTGTATTCCTATGTAACTATTTATGTGCGTGTGTGGGTGCATGCATGTAGCCATGTATGGGTGTGCATGTTGCCATGTATGTGCGTGCATGTGTGCGTGCATGTAGCCATGTATGTGCGTGCGTGCGTGTGTGCATGTTGCCATGTATGTGCGTGCGTGCATGCATGCAGCCATGTATGCATGTGTGTGCGTGCATGTAGCCATGTAGGTGCGTGCATGTGTGCACGTAGCCATGTACGTGTGTGTATGTGTGCGTGCGTGCGTGTGTGCATGTTGCCATGTATGTGCGTGTGTGCGTGTTGCCATGTATGTATGTGCGTGCGTGCATGCATGCAGCCATGTATGCGTGTGTGTGCGTGCATGTAGCCACGTAGGTGCGTGCATGTGTGCACGTAGCCATGTACGTGCGTGTATGCATGTGTGCATGTAGGAACGTATGTGCGTGCGTGCATGCATGCAGCCATGCGTGTGTGCATGTGTGCATGCAGCCATGTATGTGTGTGCAGCCATGTATGTGCGTGCAGCCATGTATGTGCATGCAGCCATGTATGTGGATGCAGCCATGTATGTGCGTGCAGCCATGTATGTGCATGCAGCCATGTATGTGTGTGCAGCCATGTATGTGCGTGCAGCCATGTATGTGTGTGCAGCCATGTATGTGTGTGCAGCCATGTATGTGCGTGCAGCCATGTATGTGCGTGCAGCCATGTATGTGCGTGCAGCCATGTATGTGCATGCAGCCATGTATGTGGGTATATGCGTGCGTGCATGCAGCCATGTATGTGGGTATATGCGTGCGTGCATGCAGCCATGTATGTGGGTATATGCGTGCGTGCATGCAGCCATGTATGTGGGTATATGCGTGCGTGCATGCAGCCATGTATGTGGGTATATGCGTGCGTGCATGCAGCCATGTATGTGCGTGTATGCATGCTGTTCTCGTGCCGTAGCAGCGTACCAGGGACGGGCTCGTTGTTGAAGTTCAGCTCGAGCATGTGAGGTTTGGGCTCACGCGGCGTGTACGATGCCTTGAACGTCTGCATGCCCTGGTTGACGACGTCCACCTGCACTTTACCCTTGTTCACCATGATCTCCAGGTTGCCCGAGCCCGCCTTGTTCGCATCGACTACAAATACGAACAGCTCTGTGTAGCAAACATTATGCTCACATGCACATTAAGTGCACCAGGACATAACAACAACAAACAAAAAATGCAAAAAAATTAACATGCCAAAAATACACCAAAATCGGTAATTTGGTAAACGTATTTAAGAAAATTTGGTATATTTGGATAGAGAATTTTGAAAGAATGTACCAAGATTAATTTTGCATATCATAGCAGAGAGGACATGTTGGTTAATTTCTTAATTTATATGTTCATGAAATCACAAAGTTTATTCATGTGTCACAAAGTAACATGGCAACGTATGTTTGGAAGAGCAAATGCTACGAATGCAACCCTACCAATGAACGAGATAGGAACTCCAACGAAACTGATGCTGCTGTCAGGCAGGCCATGGACTATAATGCGTTTAGGGTCTGTCGCCTTGATTCTGTAAGGGCTATTGCCGACATTGTGGCCTGCATATTTCACTTCCATCGTATGCTTTCCTGTAGAAAGAGTAAATACATTTCACTTTTACTTGAACAAAACATCATAACAAAAGTATGCACACTTTTCTCGACAGTGACCTAGGTAACTACGTGTATTTCAACTATTGCAGTTTAACAGTTATTCTGCATATAATATCTTCTCAATACCTATTTTTGGTAAACCAGTGCAAATCCATTGGAAATAAGTTTGCCAGTGTGCATCTCTGATGACACAGGTTGGATATCCTTACTAAGTTGGTAGATCTCTAAACAATTCTTACCCATCTCCGTTAGAGCGTATTCAACTCTATACACATTATTCTGTGTTTCGGTCACTCGTGTTGGCAACACTCGTCCTTCTGGATCTGCGACAATAAAATTATCATTTAATAACACTCTCTCGCAGTCAGCCAGTATTCCTCATAACCACTTACTCGTCTTCAATCATCGTACGCTGTAACAACTTTAGGCGTACTTTTACTTCTAACACGTTCCAACTGCCTTAATCGCAGTCGTTAGTGGTTCACCCACATCGCGATTACCAGAGACCACTAATGCACATGGTCATTCGAGCCACAAGCGATTCACAGTCACCGATGTTAAGAGCCAAGTTTTCGCCGATTAAGACAATTCACTGCCTGGAAAGTGGCGTGAACCCTCTAACCAGCTGCACGTGCTAATCTGGGCATCACCATATTTTCACCATCTTGGCATTGTTCTCGCAGTGACTCACTCCCAAGTCCTTCGCAGCATTACCTGTTAGCTTGACCTCAAGGAGGTTGCCGGGCTGGCCACCGGTGTCGATCTCAAACCACGCAGGCTTGTTTATAGTGCTGCCCTTCAGGCCTTCGCCGTACATGCGAATGCGATTCAAGTCAACGACGTCAAACTGCCATGGACTCCCTGCGAAATCATCGCAATGCATAATTATGAGTGGTGAAAATCTAATAATTTTCTTTTAATACTAATTGTCTAATAATTTTCTTTGCGACATGGCGTCCATAGTTTTTTCGCGCGTTTACCTTGATGCTCAACTATGCTCGTGATTAATTCTGCACTTCTAAAACCATGCGAAAATACAATTGGGAAAAATCCACACCGGCACGATGAATTTTGAACACCAAACGAAACAAAATACGCTTATAAAAATCAATACGTGCCCGATAGATTTTGTACTCTGAAACAATGCAAAACACAAATGGAAGAAAATTCCATCGCGATTATAAATAATAAAGATGATCATGAGGAAAGTTTTCTCGAATGTTGCTTACCTCTCACGGTTTCCTTGTTGAAGCTCATTTCGACCGTGTGTCTGGACACGGTCTCGGGTATGAAGGTGCCCTTGAAGCGCTGACTGCCCAGATTCTCCACACTACAGTTGACATGGCCACCATTGACCATGATCTCCAGGCTGCCAGAGCCAGCCTGGGAGGCATCAACTGCAGTGCAACAACATATGTGGAGAAGGTCAACCCGGTGCTCGTCCGTTTCACTGCATGCCTTCGACACGGAAATCTTTACATGCACTTTAAATGAGTCTCTTTATCTTCCTCACTGTGTGCGTGTGGGTGTGCGTGTGGGTGTGCGTGCGCGTGTGTGTGTGTGCGCACGCGCGTGTGCTGTGCCTCTTCTTATTAACATCCAGGCGAAAAGATATCAAGCCAGTTCATGTTATATCATCAGTGAGCAGGTATGAAACTGAAACGCACTACATACCAGTAAAAGTGACAGGTATGCCCTTGCACACGGGTCCCTGGGGCATATCGACCAAGACAGCTCCCGGATCAGTGGTTTTCACAGTAAATGGCCCACCGCCAACGTGAGCCCCGGAGTACTTCGTCTCAATAGTATACAACCCTGAGAAGAAGATTGACAAGAAAAAGATTGACAACAACTTGGACAAAAGCGTCGCTCTCAGTTGCACTTCCAAGATTAAATAATCATTAACGGGAAGATGTCCATATTTTACTACACGACAACATAGAACGCAACATTAATAATATAACATTAAACGCAATCTTGTGAGCTGATAATACCATGTGGTAAAATACACACCAGGCGAACTAGCAACATAGTCTGCTCTGTAGACATTCTTTTGCGGGGTTTCCACGAGTTTTATTGGAACCCGCTCTCCGCTTGGGGCTGAAACATGAAAATTATAACCATTCCTAACAACTGTCGCTGGTACGGTTGTACATGGTTATACATACGACTATATACTACTACCACATTACACTACATATATACATTCATACATACATACTACTATACTACTACAACATTATACATACTATCGTACATGGTTATCAAAAACAAATGAATGAATGGGACAATATTCCCATCAACGTTTATCTAGAACACACCCCTCTCCCCCTCCAGGCAAATATCCAGTCAACGCTGTAAAGTAAGGCACATCAAGTAATTCTGTCGTATATCATATGAAACAGGAGGCACGGGATAGCATTAATGGAACGTTGTTGGTTCATTAATTCAGGCTGCTGTGTACTGCAGCTGTGGTTCAATCAGAAGCCCTAGGTTAACACTACAGGGAGCCAGTTTTACTGGGCAGACGTAGTAAACACTGTTGTGTATAATGCAGCTGTGGCTCAATCAGGAGACCTGGGGGTAACACTACGGGGTAAGGTTTCAGGGGACAGACATAGTAAACGCTGCTACGTATAATGTAGCTGTGGCTCAATCAGGAGACCTGGGGGTAACACTACGGGGTAAGGTTTCAGGGGACAGACGTAGTAAACGCTGCTACGTATAATGTAGCTGTGGCTCAATCAGGAGACCTGGGGGTAACACTATGGGGTAAGGTTTCAGTGGACACTCGTAGTAAATGCTGCTACGTATAATGTAGCTGTGGCTCAATCAGAAGTCCTGGGGGTAACACTACGGGGTGAAGTTTCGCTGGACAGTCAAAGTAAACACTGTTGTGTATAATGTAGCTGTGGTTCAATCAGAAGCCCTATGTTAACACTACAGGGGGCAGTTTCGCTGGGCAGACGTAGTAAACACTGCTACGTATAATGTAGCTGTGGTTCAATCAGAAGCCCTAGGTTACCACTACAGGGGGCAGTTTCAGTGGACACTCGTAGTAAACACTGTTATGTGTAATGTAGCTGTGACTTAATCAGGAGGCTTATGGTAAGCCTATGGAGTGCAGTTTCAGTGGACAGTTGAAGTAAACGCTGCTACGTATAATGCACCTAACAATTAATACAATCAAATAAACTCAATAATCAATATATCAATAAATCAATATATCATATAAGTAATTCAACTCACAGAGCAGATGAGCGTCGAGCTCGTCAATGTCTGCTCCCTGGCTGTCTATCTCGAATGACGTCATTCTGTTAACGCCGACGTTGCGAAGACCGTCGCCGTACACCTTGATCTTCGAGGGATCGACAATGTTGAACGGCCATGGGCTACCTGGAAAACGAAACATCTCACGTTTAGTCAGAAGATCGTTCCTCGTATGCCTCGAAATGTGGAAGCCATGGTTAATTTTTCACAAGAGAGAGAGAGCAGTTAACTAAAGAAGATATGTGTGAGACAATATTACAGTAGTGCTGGTAATGGAAGTTAAAGGAATTAATGGAAGCTGATGGTGCGCATTTTGGCATAGAAACCTGCCGACCTACTACACTACTTTCTTTATTAATCAGAGCCAGAGCACACACACATTTGGCAGTCATTTGTGGTAATTAAGAAAGCAATACTCAAAATAAATATCAAAGTGTACACACTGATATACACATTAGATAAACATCACAAAAATATCTCTACTGGAGTGCTTTCTACATCAGATTTTGGTATCAATGTTTTCGCTATTTATCTGTGACGTTTATCAGTGCGTAAATTTTGATGTCTATTGCTAGCGGTGTGTTCTCAATTACCACAGAGACCGGAGCCCATTTTCAGAAACAAAATTAGTCTTGACATTAGTCTTAATATTAACTTTTCCTTGTAGACCATTGACAGAATTTTGTTTAAGAAAGCTACGAGAAGAAGATGCTAGGATATTTCATTCTCGTAAGTTTACCACGTTTCTATCAACGGCCTAAGAAAAAAATTGCTAGTCTAATGTTCACGAGCAATTTTGTTCCTGACAACGGAGAGCGCCAGGTCTCTGCGCGACGTGGCTACGGTGCTGCCACCACGTGGGCGGGCTCACCTCTCAGCGCTTCGTCGTTGAATTTCATCTCGAGGTTGTGTAATCCAGACTCGGACGGAGTGAACGATGCACGGAACCTCTGGTTGCCAAGGTTCTGAACGTCGCAGAACACGTGCCCTCCGTTCACCATGATCTCGAGGTTCCCCGAGCCGGCTTTCGACGCATCGACTGAAACGAGGCAACGTCACCGTTTGAGTTGACTGGTCAATTTACCGGCGCAACCTGTCAGCGGCAAACCGCGGTACCGCGAACAAAAGCATTCCGATGTCGTTCTAGCGCGATCAAGTTGTCTCAATGCAGCTATTTAATTTTAAGCATTTTTTGTAGGCATTTAAGCATTTGGGTTCCATTGTGATTTTTTTATGTTAAATATGTATTAGATGGGTTTATATCTGCAAACAAATATATACACGCATTTACAACTTGACACACAAACTGACTGCTCACATGATGAGTTGCACAAATGTAACAACTTGTGTAACTAGAACTAACCTATCAGGGGACGGAAGTGAACTTATAATGTTTAGTCAATGTCTTATAACATGGGGTGAAAGTAAATGCAATCGATGCAAAGTTAGGAGTTTGGTAAACAGAGCAGTATCATGATTACTATTATTATTAAATCTTTATTGCATATAATTCAAATACATATACATATACTGATGAGTCTTTTTCATGGAGAAAAAAGCTGATTAATTCAATAGTGTTTTGCAGTTAGAATCATGATAATACACACCATTGAAGTAGATGGGAGTGCCGACGAATCCGGTGAGCTTATCTGGAAGCTCGACCTTGATGAGGGCAGGATTGGAGGCCCTGATTGTGAAAGGACTTCCCTTGATGTGCCGCTCCCCATACTTCACGTCGAGATAATGAGTGCCTGAGGAGAAATGATCCGTAAGAGTGATGGGGTAGTAAGGGTAATGGTCAATATAAGCAGAGTTACTGATTATTTTGATGAGCACTCCCACCAGGATTAAGACAAGGGATGACAAAAAATAATGGGGATTATTGCCATTGCTAATAACTCAAATTCAATTCGATCAAATTACACTAGGTAAACACATGTACAGCTTCATAACAGAATACATATGTAATTCTTATTTATGATGATTATTTCTTCTTATTATGATACCTGTTTCGGTCACGACAAAGTTCACTTTAAACTGGCCATGTCCTGTTTCATCTACACGACATGGGAAAGTTTGACCGCTTGGTGCTAAAATGTAAAATCAAACACATTTGTTATACTAAATTTACACACTTGTGATCATTGTTCACTCTATCAAACTGTCAAACACTAAACTAACAAGACAGATGAAACTATATGCTAAAACTAACCACGCAGATTGGCAGTGATCTTGGAGCTATACAGTCCACCAGTGTCCACCTCAAACGCAGACGACTGGTGCATGCGGACATTGGTCAGGCCTTCTCCATAAGCACGAATCCTGCTGATGTCTTCCTCCTCAACTAGGATCTGCCATGGGCTTCCTGTGATATTACAGTTAAAATAAGATCTCAATGGTTATAGTTTATATGTGAAAGATTTTAATTAATTAATAAATAAATATATATATATATAGCAATATCAACTGAAAAATGCTTGGGATGCTTATATTTTACCTGGAACTGGCTGATCATTGAAGCGCATTTCAACTGTGTGAGTGATAGGTTTCTCTGGAATAAATTTCCCTCGGAATGTCTGCTTCCCTGTTTCTGTGACATCACAGTTAACATGGCCGCCATTCACCATGATCTCAAGGCTTCCTGAGCCAGCTTGTGCTGCATCAACTAGAGAATAGATAACATAGATGCAAGAAAGAACATCCTCATCAGCTTTCACTGAACATGTGATGGCATCTTTTACTCAAAGAACATTTGCACAAAACACAACACTTTATTTACAAACATCGTTGCCATTGTGCATACGGATATGAATTCGAGGCAAAAAATAAAATGCTTACAGATGATACGGTTGGCTTAAAATAAACCGAGGACATTTTAACCAAGAACACACTGCTGGTGCACAGCTAAGTTTCCTTCGAGGACTTTTCGTGTAATAATTGCTCTAGCTCAACGTACCATTAAAAACTACTGGGTCACCAACGAGTTTCTTCATCCTGTCCACAAGGTCAACTCTGATTAGACTTGGATCAGCAGCTTTGATTGCAAAGGGACTGCCCGTGATGTGACGATCTCCATATTTCACGTCTAAATAGTTGGTGCCTGAAAGAAATTAGAGCAGAACAATTGATTGAAGTACGAAACGGACAGAGAAATTTTTGCTTAAATCGATTTATTGAGTACAATATAGTTTCAAATGTAGGTAAGCAAATAAGTCAGTAGTGGTGAAAAGGAGACTAGTTTATCATATAAGCTAGTAAATTACAAAACATATGGGCTGGAAAATGCTGGTAATTTTTCACATATACATTGAAAGCCACTGTAAACATAAAACTAGGATCCACGTTATTTCTTTTTTAAATCTTTATATCACAGGAAGCCCATGGCAGATCCTAGTTGAGGAGGAAGACATCAGCAGGATTCGTGCTTATGGAGAAGGCCTGACCAATGTCCGCATGCACCAGTCGTCTGCGTTTGAGGTGGACACTGGTGGACTGTATGGCTCCAAGATCATTGCTGACCTTAGAGGTATGGTAAATGCTTGATCATTAGAAATATCAACTAAAGCTTGTTATTCGAAGCTCTATGTTGCTTATACAAAAATTCGAATGTTTCTGAAAATTCTCATTTTATATTGATGTTCATTGCTCTGTCTTAGCTCCAAGTGGACGCACCACCCCATGCCGTGTTACTGAAACAGCAAGAGGCCAATACAAAGTGGATTTTGTAGTGACTGAAGCAGGTATATATTGCAATTGTTATACACGATTGTACTAACTATAAACTAAAATATTAGGCAAAATAACAGTTCAACAGGTAAAACATTGAAATATGACATGAAATCCAAAAACATGCAAACTCAATAAGATATTGATTGATTGTTTTCTCACTGGATTCAAAATAATCACACACAAAAACAAAATACTGACTGTCGTGTTGAGATCTACTACATGTTTTTACGGTTGATAATAACATTATCTTGCTAGTTTCCTGCTACCTTGCTTAGTTTACTATGATTAGTCTCAATCTGACCAATAAGAAACCTTCAGTACTGCATGCTCTACAACGAACTCACACTATTGTCTATGGCTTTAATATTTCACTCTGAATAAACCAGATTACTGTGCACTCACGTGTGTTTACTTGCTTGCCATATGAAAGTTACACACAAAAACAAATGGTATCAAGGCAGTGGTGGTGAAACCTTCACAAACGTGGCTAACACAACTGTGGATGTGTGGTCCACACATTTAAACTAATGGACAGCAAGTTTGTAGGAATGGTCCTATATACTAAGATAAGCTGTGCAATAATCATGTTCATGATATTTTACCTGGTACAGGTTTATCATTGAAGCGCATTTCAACTGTGTGAGTGATTGGTTTCTCTGGAACAAATCGCCCTCGGAAATGCTGCTTCCCTGTTTCCGTGACATCACAATTAACATGGCCGCCATTCACCATTATCTCCAGACTTCCTGAACCGGCTTGTGTCGCATCAACTAGAAAATACAATAAATTACGAGTTCAGTTTAACGAACAGAAGGTGTGAAAGCTTCTAAAGCTTGGAAGTAACAAATATATGGTTTGTGTCAGAATGTATGCAATACTGCTGAAATATAATAGCCTACATTAGTTATGCATTTAATTTTGCTATGCGCAATTTTAACCAAACTTTTACTACCTAATATTAAAATTGACATTCCTACCGTTGAAGGTGACAGGTTCACTAATCTTTACTTTCATCCTGTCCTGTAGATCAACTCTAATCAGACCAGGATCAGAAACCTTTATGGTGAATGGACTTCCTTGGATTGGACGGTCTCCGTATTTTACATCCAAATAGTTAGTGCCTAATACAAACACAAACGATTGTAA